TGTCCCCCCCAGGGGCTCCCCCCCCCCCCCCCCCCCCCCCCCCCCCCCCCCCCTTGCCACGCCCACTTCTCAGACCCGCCCGCAAAACCGTCGCCCACTGTGAAACGGCCGCCGAAGAACCTCGTTCAACCATGTTCAATTGCGTTGGATCGCGTTTATTGTCATTGAATTAAAAATTCAACGGCGTTCATCGGCACCGCACGTGCAGGTCCGCCGCCGTCGTCGCCCACGCTCCGCTCCGCTCCGTTGTCGCCAGTGCTCCGCGGCTGCTCCTGCTTCGCTGCTCTGCCTCTTTGCTCTCTCTCTCTCTCTCTCTCTCTCTCTCTCTCTCTCTCTCTCTCTCTCTCTCTCTCTCTCTCTCTCGTGCGCGCACGTTGGACGCCGTGCACATCACGCATTCGTCACCTTCTGAGCTTCGGCTTGCGCGACAAATGACTGCAACCGAGTGAAACGGCCTTCTTTATAGCCTTTCCACAATCAGCCCACCCCACACCCTTGAAAACGCCCTGCACTGCTTGCACGGTGTCAGGGTCGTTTTTTTTTTTTTTCAATAAAAAAAAATAAAACAATTTGAGGGCATGAGGTGGTACCCAATAGGTCACTCCACCACCCCAGGCCCTCGTAAACCCCGAAACCCGCCCCAAAAGCCGCGATATCGCAGTTCGTGGAACCTGTTTATTCACATCTAACGTGCGTTTTAACGGGATTCGACACGAATTTAACACGCGTTGAATAACTAAACGCGAAACCCGCGTTGAATTGAAAATCGGACACATAGCAGCCGAGTCAGCGACACCTTTGTGTGAGGGCGCTCGCACAAACGAGAGAGAGAGAGAGAGAGAGAGAGAGAGAGAGAGAGAGGATTTCGTTATTTTCCCCTGTCATCTTGATTTGCGCTATCTTTTATATGGTCGAGTTTCTTAGTTTTCTGGGTGTAGGCACACATAAGTGCCTGTCCGTGACTTGCACAGAGAGAGAGAGAGAGAGTGTTACATGCTTCGCCTGCATACTGGCGCCACTTGACGGGCCCGACGGTTGCTAAAGGAGCCCACGCCGCGTGCCGCCTAGCACGCACCCTGGAGGTCCACGGCGGCCTTTGGGCCGCAGGTACTGGCAGTGGTCCGTTCGGACGCTGTTTCGAACTGCAGGTCCCGACGTCGTTTCGGACTGCAAGCCCTAAGGCGTCACCTTGGGCCAGGTACACAAGGCCTGGGCCACTTTCAGGCCAGGCGCGTTTTGGCGCCTCGCTGCATCAGCAGCGCTGTCTGGACACCCGAAAGGTGCCCAGACCGAGTAGGTCGTTTGAGGCAAGTACCTGAGGAACGCCAAGCAGGCCCAACGCTACTTGTAGTGGGCTGAGGCTGGGCTAGGGACAGTTCGGGGAGCTCACCTCTTGATCATCACGCTGCTGGTTGGAGGCTGCGCTATTTTGGCGCTGCGCTGCAAGGCTGGGAAGGAGAGGCGTAGGAGGCAAAGAGAGGAGGAGGCCATACCTTTAGTGGCGAACTTACCTGGCGCCATAGCCGGGGCTCCGCGCGGAACCTGTACAGGAAGACCACGACGGTCAGTACGAAAGCAGTTACCTGCAGGTGAGGCAGCGAGGAGGGCGACATCTTCTTCTACCTTCTCGCCCTACATCTCGTCGCCCTCTTTCCTCCTTCCAGCTTCTTCTTCAGATACGAGAGAGAGGGATTACATGCAGAGGATACTGGCAGAGGCTACGATGGGTAGAAGGCCCGGG